CCCCCCCCCCTAAGACCCAGCACAGCTCCTGACTGCTTTGTGCCCGGTGTAGGCGGTCCCCGTCGGGGCTGAGGGTGATGCTGCACCCCCCAGGTCGGGGGACACCGGTGCCCATCGATTGCTGCCTCGAGCTGGGATCTGCCGGCACGTCCTCCGGTTCTCTCCTAAATAACGCCACGGAGGAGGCCGGGTATCCCCCCCAAATAACTTGGGGGGGCTCTGAAGCCTCCCCAGGCCGACCTTCAACATCACCCAAGGGGATGGGGCTTCACCAGCCTTGCCCGGCCGTGGGGTGACACATGGACCGATGCTCTTCCCATGACCGCAGCATGCAAGAGAAGAGCTGCGAGAGCGTGTCGTCCCCGGGTAAGGACCTTCTGCCCCCCCAAATTTCAACAGGTGCCCCCTCTTTCCACGGCTCCTCTGCCTTCGCTTCCCCCAGGCACGCAACACACGTCTCCTTTAAGAGTATCTGGACCAAGAAACCATCAACAAGAACATCCAGGGACGAACCCGCCCCACACCATGATAAGGGAGGTGGTGATAAGAGCAAACCTCATTACTGGCGCTAACGGGCAAGGGCCTGCGGAGTGTGAGAAGGAGGATAAGGAAAGGGAGGGAGAGAAGCAGGCAGAGACCTAAAACCTGCCCAATTAGCGTTAACGAAGAGGCTAAGCAGAAAAAAAACCCTCGCCGGTCACGCGGACGGGTGGGCTTCTACCCACCGGTAGAATGTTGAAGTTCTGCCGAGAGCTTTGGAGCTGATACGGATGCAACGCTGGAGGGGGGACCGTGCGTACGGAGGAGGTGACGAGGAGGGGAAGGGGGGCAGGGAGGAGAAAAGCGGGGGGCCGACAAAAAAAGGGTGTAAAAGGGGCCGGTGGTGTAAGTACGAGGGAGTTGGTCTACGCGTTGGTCATCGCAGTTTGACCTGTCTTCGTTATCCAATCTTTTTCTTCATTATTTCTGGGCCCAGCGCTAGCTACTGGGGGGACTGGTGTGAACGGGTTTGGGGTCATCTACAGGGGTCAGGCCGGGGGTGTCGGCGCCCCCGGTCTGTGGTGTCAGCTACTGGAGCGAGCTGGGATCCCAGTGCAGCTACTGGAATGGGTGGAGGTCTTGCTGGAAGGGCTCCAGCAGCTGGGCGGCACCGTACTGGGTGGTACTGGGCTGGGCTGGAGCTGCCGGAGGGGGTGGCCGCTCTCAACGTCCCTTAACACCTACCAAATGACCCCTTTTGGTCTCCCAACAGGCGATGAGACAGACAACGAGGAGAAGAAGAAGGAGTCCCAGCCCATGGAAGAGGACAGGGTGGTGCTGGAAGGACCCAGAGAGGAGCCCCAGAACCCCAAGGTGGACATGGACCATGACGGTCAACATCAGCCAGATGATAAGCAAGGTAGCCCCGTACCAAGAAGACCCCGAAAATGCTCTTTCAAAGGGACGTATGCTGAAGACCTTCAAGAAGATGCAACCCAACCAAGGAGTAGCTCCAGAGGGAAGGTGTACAAGTGTGTGGACTGCAAGAAGATCTTCACCTGGGGGAGCAGCCTGACCCGGCACCGACGGATCCACACGGGAGAGAAGCCCTTCAAGTGCCTGGATTGCGGGAAGAGCTTCACGCAGAGCGTGGTCCTCCTGCGTCACTGGAGGACACACACCAAGGAGAAGCCCTTTCTCTGCACCACGTGCGGGAAACGCTTCTCCTGGCGCTCGGACCTCATCACCCACCAACGCATCCACACCGGAGAGAGACCGTACGCCTGCTCGCACTGCGAGAAGACCTTCCGGAAGAGATCTCACCTCATGAGGCATCAGCAAGTCCTCCATGATGGTGAGTCCTCGGAGGGGGCTTAGCGTGGAGATGTCCCATGCCCTAGTGGAGCTGTGGGTGGGGATGGTCTGGAGAAGCACGTGGCTGGGGCTGTGTTGGGATTCCTGCTCCCAGCGTGGCAGCAGTGATGGGGTGGGAGATGTCCCCGGGGGTGGATTTGCTCTGTCCCCAGGTTGGGTTGAACTGTCGGTGGGGATAGTCCTGGTCTGAGGAGGAGGTTGGACCGGAGACCTCCAACTAACGGAGCTGCGCTGGAAGAAACTCCTCCACGCGGGGGGGTTCGTGAGTCAGCCTTGGTGATAGCAAAGGGTCTCCAAGAACATTTCCCGGGTTCATTAGTGGACATGGAGGCCTCTCTTCACCCATCCTCCACCACCGCAAACCACCTCCTGGCTCTTCCCAACTTGCATTACCCCAACAGATACTTGGGTTTCTCCTCCATCCTTGCTCATGGAGGTCCTGTCCCCTCCTCTGCTCCGCTCATCCGAGTTGGTGCGATGGCTTTATCTTTCTTGAGCAGGCACCGAGAGCGCCCAGATGGAGCCAGGACAACCACCCCGAGCGCTGGAAGAGAAGTCGGAGACCAAGAAGGAGCAGACACCGACGAGACAGAGGGGTGGCGCGAAGGACACCCGCGCGGCCACGAGCAAGCCGGCGGCCCGTGCCAAGCAGAAGACCCATAAATGCCCAGAGTGCGGGAAGACCTTCTGCTGGAGAAACAGCCTGAGACGCCACCAAAGAAATCACACGGGAGAACGACCCTACAAGTGCCCAGATTGTGGGAAGACCTTCAACGACTTCTCCAACCTCGTCTCCCACCATAGGATCCATAAGGGAGAGAGACCGTACGAGTGCCCCGAGTGCGGGGAGTGCTTCACCCAGAACTCGAGCCTTTCCAGGCATCGGAGGACCCACACTGGAGAAAAACCTTTTTCCTGCTCGGATTGCGGGAAGTCCTTTACTCAGAAGCAAAAACTCATCTTGCACCAGCGGATCCACACCGGGGAGATGCCGTACAGCTGCCAGCAATGCCGGAAAACCTTTCGGAGCAGATCCCACCTCGCCACGCACCAGCAGATCCACGCGCAGGAGAGCTCCCACGCGTGCCTGATCTGCGGGAAGTCATTCAGCGTGAGCACCGAGTGTCTTCTCCATCAGAGGACCCACTTGGAGGAGGTGCCGGTGGGCCAGGGAGCTTCTCCAGGGGGTGACGTGCCACGAAATTAGGGGGTTGTGGCCTCCCTAGGTAAGGACTTCCACCCCTTTGGTCTCATCCCATGAGCCTGGTGGTCTCGGAGGGGGAAATTCAGAGATGTCGGGGGGACGCTAATGCCCCACCAAGGGTTTTTTTTGGGGGGGATGAGGGGTTGTGTGAGCCCCTCTCTGATTTAAATGTGAGTGCCTGCACATAGATGTAAAGAAGGAGGAGATTTACCAGCAGGTGCCTCGGGCACATGGACAACGTGGCTCTTCCTTCACCCCAGCACGTGGGACCATCACATCCAAGAGCCCCAGGATCTCTGTGGGGACTTGTGGGTCCGGGGAAAGGAGATGTTTAAGAATCGCTGCCTTCCTGGCAAAACCAGGGTGCTCCCAGGAGTCCAAAGGGATTGTAAAGTCTCGTTAGCCAGCGGGGTCGTTATCAAGACCCAAGGGTGGACAAACTGATGGACGGTGTTGGTATGGCGTTTTGGCGGGATGCCGGTTGGCATCTCAGGTCTTGTTTCACAAGCTGTGGCCGTCGCGTTGTATTTGATTCAGTTTGCTCTTACTGTGTTTATCTCTCCCTGTTCATCACTTGCTTCGTTAAAAGCGCGTGCCGTTAATTATTACCTGATTACAAACCGTCAGGAAAAACTTCAATGATGGTGCTCACCAAGGCTGAGGCTTTCGTGCTTCCCGGTGGGATACGGGGACACCGGACCACGATGGCGGAGGGATGAGCCGCTCTCACCGACGGCTCGGGGACTATTTTACCCCGAGGAAGGAGATGCTGCCGATGGGGGAAGCTTTGGCAAAAAAACCTTGGGAGGTTCGGAGGAAGCAAAAATCCAGCCAGGGCCCTGCAATAAAAATCGAGCGTACGGGATGCTCCCGTCATTATGTACGTGCACACGTACGTACGCATGCACACACACATGTGTATGTATATATCCCCTTATAGTAAATGGAAGAAATACCTCTTTTTTTTTCCCGTTTCTGTCAAAAGAAAGGGAAGTTCCGAGGCCAACTGGATGAGGTTCAACAAGGCCAAGTGCCGGGTCCTGCACTTCGGCCACAACAACCCCACGCAGCGCTACAGGCTGGGGGAAGAGTGGCTGGAAA